AAGTGTTAAAAATGAAAAATACTGAACGAATAGCAACAAAGAAAACGAAAAATAAAGATGCCTGTCAGAAAATTAAAAAATTCGTGATTTTATACTATCTATATTTCATATTAGTATAATGAAGCTGAAGAATATACGTGAGTTTCACAATTTAGCCCCTTTGAGGCTGCGCTAACAAGCTTTTTTTTCTTATTTCAAAAACTATTGCTCTGTTGATTTTTGATGGCTTTTATGAACATTCTCCTAGTAAAAAAAGGCAGGATATAAGAAAATCGAAAGAAATATCTACTCCAATTAGTGTTTAGTACGTGAAAAGAAAAGTTCAAATCTATCGAACATCACATCTGAGAGAAATACGAGCAAAAATTAAGGCCAGTTATCATTATTATAATCACAGTACTTCATAGTAGACAGTATCCAGAATGATAAATTTTACTCTACTCGTTAAGGTCTACTTGTCCTGAAAAGAGAGTGGCACCTTTGATTTAAATTTTGTTGTTAACTGTCGTCATTTTTAAAATGCATAAGTGTTCTCATAGAAAAAGCAACAGTTTAAGGTCAAATGTTCTTTAACAATCGCGATTTTATAGGATTCTCTTATTGTTGTTTCGTTTTAAGAATCATCAAGACATAATACTGCCCATATAATTGACATACAAGCACAATCTATTTTAGATCGATATTAAAAATGAATTATGTTTCATTCGAAATCTATCGATATATGTATTTTATTGAAAAAGAAAAACTTCAATCTTTTGATTTTTTCATAAGTAATAAAATCAAATGGTGACTTGAATTTCGAATATGTTTTGGTTTTTATATTTTGAAATTTTCGAGCTGAGATTCTCGACAATAATAATAATACGAAAAGAAAAGTTGATTAATATCATTTAATAATTTATATGAGTATCTCATTCTATTTCAGGTGATTTTTTTTTATCTATGATCGTCAATAAATCTTTACATGATAATCGAAACTTTATGTTTATATGTATTAGAAGAGCATCCATTATCTGTAGTAAGAATTCATATTTTTAAAAAATTGTTTTTTTTCAGGCCTTTCGTTTGTCGCTCAATTCAATAAACGTTACAATCATTAGTCATATTATTGAGTTTACTAATACGCCCTTTTATCCATACCGTTCTTTTTTTTTCTAAATCGTTCTGCATTAAAAAAAAGAAAATATGGTTACTGTATGTTTTTCGATCGATGATGATAGTACTGTACTCTTATACAGCTTCTGTGGTTTCCTTTTTTTTTTATTTTTCAGGAGGTCAACGTTTTCTAAGTTTTGCTTGGTAAACGTTTGCTTTTAATGGCACGTCTAATTGATCGATGTATATTATTTAGGATTCTCTTACTTTTATAATTCTCTTCATCTTAATAAGCGAAAATAAAATTGCATTTACTTGTACATTAAGAAAACAACATACATTAAATGCACAAATATAAAAGAGACAAACGACATTATAAAACACGTATTGTATAAAACAGTTAAACATTAATTTTCTTTTAAAAATGTCGTATCCTGAACGAACGATAGTTTCTCCATCGAATGTTGAGCTAGAAAGAACTTCTCCACCTTCACCAAAGTATCAAACCGAGACAGTATATGTTCCTCCTGCATCTCCAAAATATCAAACTGAGATAGTGAATATTCCTTCTCCATCGCCTAATTATCAAACTGAGACAATTTATGTTTCCACACCTCCACCAAAGCTTCAAACTGAAACAATATATGTCACAACTCCTCCACCAAAAGTTGAAACCGAAACAATATACGTTACTACTCCTCTACCAAAAGTTGAAACCGAAACAATATACGTTACTACTCCTCCACCAAAAGTTGAAACCGAAACAATATACGTCACTACTCCTTCACCAAAGGTACTTACTGAAACAGTATATATTCCACAACCTGTAGTGCAGCAACCAGCTCCATTACCAATAGTTAAAACTTCAAAAACGTCAATACCTCCGTCTAAATCAAAAGTTAATTCTTTAAAAAAACCTAATCGTAGTCCTTTGCAAGAATTAACGAATGTTTCTTCATCAAAAACTCATACTAAAGTAACACCTATTCGTATTAAAACACCAACGGTCTATGCATATAGAAATAAAAATAGTGAAAATCGGTAATGTTGTTTTTTTCTTCTTTAATTCGATTTTTATTTTAATTCATATTATGAACTTTATAGGAATCGAAGAGTAGCAGCAGCGGCAGTAATAAAACCATGTTGTTGTTGTTGTAATGCACGAGTGTTAGCTGGATTAATTATAGCATTAATGCTAATTGCTGCCATAGTTATTCCTTTAATTATTGTATTAACATCAACTGGAGATGTGTCAACAACGACAACAACTACAAGTAAGTAGTAATAAGTATATCAATTAATCAAATACAACTTAAAATGAATAATAATCATGAATAAATAAAATAAAATAATTTTATTTAATACGATAGCAACAACAACAACTACTACTTCAACAACAGCTTCAACAACATCTACAAGTAGTAAGTGATTGAGCTTTATTGTTGTTTATATAAAATGTAAAAATTATTTCTAATTATTTTTGTAAATTTTTTATTAGCAACCACTTCAAGTACAACTACAACCACTACTGAGACGACAAGTACATCTTGTAAGTCATTTTTTTTTTCAAAATTTATTTCGATTATTACGAGTGCTTCGTTTTCTCATGTATTAACATGGAAAATTTTTCTAAAATCATTCCTATGCTTTCGAATGCACACATATTAAGCAAGTATATACACAAATTTATATGAATGAAAATGTAAATATAGTACTTTTTTTCTCAAGTGTTCACACATATGTCATATTATAATAATCCATAGATGTACGTCCAGCATTATCGTACGGTTATATACGTACGTATTTTGAGAAACGCAATCTCAAAGAAATATTGAAGTATAAAAGTTTAAAGCCAGGAAAATTATGACGAAAATATGTGTTCCAAGATAAATAGAATAAAACAGTCTTCCTGTGATTAGTTATAGAAGCTGGATTGTGTTTCACATTTTAATCTCACAGCGATTGTGCTAACAGGTTTTTCATAATTATGAATGATTGAATTAGGCTAAAATTTATTGTTTTTCAATTTGAATATCAATAAGGTTTCCTTGTCCTAATTCATTTTGAGTATATTCAAATTTTTCTCAATGAAATTCAATAGTAAAAACCTTGTACACTAGCTTCGACTTCGTCTACAACAACAACAACCACTGAGACTACTACATCAAGGACCACTGAGAGTACTACAGTAACTACAATTGCTACTACTACATCAACTACATCGACCTCTACTACATCAACTACATCCACCTCTACTACATCCACTACAACTACTTCAACTACATCGACCTCTACTACATCAACTACAACCACCTCTACTACATCCACTACAACTACTTCCACGACATCCACTACAGAAACTACAACCACGTCTACTACATCAACGACGACTACTAGTACCACAAGTAAATAAATATTTTATTGTTTAATGGTATCCCCACTCCTCTGTTTTTGACACTTTCTGGTTTTCGAAGAGGATACAACCGATCAAGCTGAAATTTTTAGTACAGATAGAGCACTAAAAATAAAGAGATACATGTTCGAGGAAAAAAATTTTGAAGTTGGTTTTTGTAGGGTTTTCTGTAAAATCAGAGTGTTTCAGTGGCCCGTATCCTGGTACATTACGACCCCGTTATAGTTTGCCTGATTGGGCTGAATTTTCTTTTTACATACCTAAGACTATTCCTTAGAGACAAATTTATGCTTTTTTCAAAAATCTCACTTTTTTTTTCTTCTATAAGAGAAATACGTCAAGACCCGGATTTTGGTCCCAGGTCTTGACTTCCAGGACTCTGTAATCCGAATAGGAATGTCAAAAATGAAAACGCTCGATTTTACCTCTGGAGAATACTTCCAAGTATTAGTCATAACAATTTCAGCCCGATCGAACAAAGTTAGGGAGGTCGTAAGCAACCAAGATTGAGAAAATTGCTGTTTTAGATAACATTAAGAAAAAGGTTACATATGATTACTATGAAAAAAAATTTTCTCAATCTAATAACTCTGTAAAAATAAGCTATTTAGAGTCGAATTATGTCTCTAGTTGCATATAATACTTCACACTATCATAACTTAGGCTCAACTTGAAATTGAGTTTGTGGTCACAAAGGTGGGAGAATACTCTTAAATAATTTCATATAATGTATTTATTTATAAACCAGTCATACATAGCTATATTAAATTTAGTCAATTTTTCTTCCACAGTAATAAAAATTTTATGAGTTGTAGACTTATGAGGAAATTTTTTAGCTGCCGCTTCCAATTTGAATCGCTTTTCTTTTGCCTATAGCTACTTCATAGTGTTCTAATCAAAACTCTAAAAGTTATCGAATTTCTTTTTCTAGAGATCCGAAGTTTTCTGAAAACTTGTGATTCTTTTTTTATGAAAGTTAGCCTAGTTGAGTTCTCTATATGTGCAATTTATCAGATCAAAATTCAAAAATCAGACTTTTCCAGAAAATCAGAGCTCTCTAAAACAAATCGATAACTTAGCTAAATCTCAACTTGAACTCAAATCTTTTTAGAAACTTTTTATTAGAACATTATGTAGTATATCTAAACGAAACATATGAAAACTTTCATTGCTAAGGAATAAATATTTGAAGAAAATAAATTTATGCTTTTAAAAAAACTGAAATTTAATTCTTTTGTTTTTCTTTTCTTTTAGCTACAACAACAGCTACAGGTAAATTTTTATTAGTTAATTTGCCTATTTAGTTTAACATATACGTTTTCTATCGAATAGTTCCTCTTAGTGAGAGTGGAGTACAAATAAATTTTGATCCAGCAGATTTACCAGCTGGTTGGACTTTATGTTATAATGATACATATGATATTGTATTAAACTCGACACTTCTTGATACTATTTTAACTCAATGTAACAAAGGCAAATTATTATTAGGTTGTAGAACTATAAATTCGACTGTATTGGCATTAGCTGCAATGGGTCTTCGATCTGATGTACTTTATAATTGTAGTAGCATTGTTAATTGTACACATATAGCTAATGGAGTTGGTTGGTACTATTCTTCAGATTATTCTTGGGGATTTGTTGAGGATAGTGATACCGTTTATCGTAACCGTTGTGATAGTGGTAAGAGTACTGAATAAAAATTGCAATTATAATTATTGATAATTATTATACTTTAGATTCAAGTACTGATAGTGCAACTGGTTCAGGTCTCCGTCTCTGTTGGCATACTGGCCCAAGTAAAGGTGGATATCGATGTGGTAATAATGTTGGACTTAATAATGATACAACTTTTGTTCGAGTTATTTATACTGTTGATTGAATAGCATTTTTTTTGTTATCAAAATTTTGTAGGCGAATGAATTTCTTTATTCTAGGAACTTAAATACATTAAAGTGTTAAAAATTGATGACGATATACTGAAATATTTTGTTTTCTATTAGACTCAAGGCTCCCGCCTACCTATCTTTTGCTCAATTTTTGTTCTTAACAAAGATACAGCCAATCAGACTCAAACTTTTACTACAGAGAAAACACCTAAAAATTTCAAAGAAGGTTCTCCAAGGAAGTCCTGGCATTCCATAGAGTTACATCCTGAAGCGTTATGATCCATATCAAATATTGTCCGATTTTCTTGTCTATGAGAAAAATATGTAAAGGTTCAAAACTTAAATCAATACTATGGGTTTTAAAAACCTATAAATCCAGATATGAGTGTCAAAAATGAAAATGACTTGTTCTGTCTCTACAGAATCACTTCAAGTATCTGAGTTAATGGTGTGAATGTTGTTTGAGAGATGATCAACACTCACACTCGCATAATCATTTGTACCCGTTTCGAAGAACTAGAACTAGTAAAAAAAGACAAAGACTATCCTTAATACGATTTGATGAAGTGATGGAAAAATATTTCAATTAGTTATATTTCAGATATACTCAGTGTTTTACTAGATTTTGTTTTTATAAAAACATCGAAGCTTGAAAAACAGAAAAATTTATATTGATAGATTTTCGTAACACAAAATGTTTTCAATAGATACACTTTATGCATTAGTACATTATTCAGCCAACATACAATATTCCGTTGGATTCTTTAGAATATTTTTTTTATGGCCTAGAGACATGTTCATTAATAGAGAGATAAAAAAAGAAGGTAGCGCTTTGCGAAGTATTTTTAAAAATGTCAAATGAAATACAATATAGAGAATATCTAACGAAGGAAATTCTCCAACTGATCAAACTCTTTTGAATCTAGGCTATGTGAATCATGTAGATCTCAATAAGTAATGAATATATTGAAAATAGATCAAGCGTTTCGCTTATTTTTGTGGTAGTGCTGCATTTCTGCGTAATTTTTAACTCAAAATCGTGGTCTCCCTTAGAAACACTGGAAAAAATTATTTTTGATTTTTGATTTGAAGCTTACAACAAAGACAGATTTCAATGAGAATAATTTATGATAAAAACTTCAAGTCTTTTGATTTGCTTGATCCATGATTTTGTCAAGAAGATCGTTTCTTTTATATTTTCAATGACTTTTCATATGCAATATTAAGTTTTCAATAATTATAAATATTTGTCTAGTTGTAAAATAACAGAATTATATTTTTTTTCTCCAATCAGTTCAATTATTATATGAACAAATAAATAAAACTAATTCAAATAATACAATATTTCTCATAGTTACAATTGATAAAAGCTTAGGATTCAAAAATCGACTCATTATTTGAAGTAATAATTTTATATCTATTCTTGTCATATTATAGAAAAAAGAAAATTTATTCAAAAAAAAAAGAAACAAATTTTAATTACAAATCAAACTTCTAAATCAAAATCTTTCTTTGATTTTATCATTTCTTGAAGTTTGTTTTTAGCAATTTCTGATAAATTACAATTATTAATATAGATTGTTTTTAAAGAATGATTGCGTTTAAGCATATGTACAAGAGCATCAACACTTGGATCACTAATAGCTTTATTGGAATTAAGAAATAACCATTCAAGACTACTATTATGATAAGCAAGAGTATCAGCTAATAATTCTACTCCTTGATTACCTATTTCATTTCCAGATAACCATAACCATGTTAACATTCGATTTGTTTTTAACATATCAGCAAGATGTTTCATTCCAATATCGGTTATATCATTATGACCAAGATAAAGATGTTGAAGAGTCGATGGATTAGACATGTGTACCTATATGAAAACATTTTGATTTTTAGGTTTCAAAAATGATATAAAATTCTTTAAAACTTTGGAAATCATCTTTTTGGAAATGATACCTTACAACAAACACGAGTGTTTTTCATTAATGTCAATCCTTACGTTGTGACTTCCATTCACAGTTAGACTTGAGCGAAAACAATCGTTTTTGTTTCTCGATCAAGACCGTATTGTTTTAGTACTGCAGTCCGTTTGAAGCGATATACAAAAAAAAGGATTATTTCATCTATTCAATAGATTTTTAAAAGCTTTGAAAAAAAAAAGAACTTTCTCTGGAATGGATATGCCTAGTGCCTATTACAATAACCACAAAATCTGAAAGAGATGCCGCTTCTTCGGCTCCTACACTGAATAAAACACTGTATTTTACTTCTCTTTAGAATATCGGTAATATCTTATATAATATTAAAATGTACGACTATTTTTCGAAAAATCGCAATTAAAAAGATTAAGTCTGAATCGAAGATGAACTTCGATTGTATAAACGATTATTTTCAACGAGACAAATATATTCGACTAAATACTTAGACGAAATTTAATCATTATATAAAACAAAAGTCTTACGCCTTTATTATCTTGATCATGATGATTTTTCTTCTCATCATTAAGTACATTTGCTAATAATTCTACTCCTCGATCACCTAAATGATTTTTTGATAAATATAATTCTGTTAATGTTCGATTATTTTCAAGCATTTGAGCTAAATATGGTGCACCTTCAGTTGTAATACCATTTGATTCAAGATTAAGTGTTTTAAGATTTGAATTTATAATTGCTAATGCTAAAGATTTAACGCCTATATCTGATATAAAATTATTTCGTAGATCTAATGTTTCTAATGCTATATTATTATTTAAACCTTCGGCTAATGTTAAAGCACCTAATGATGTTATATTATTATCTCGTAATCGAATACGTTTACAACGATTTTTAATAATAGCATGTTTAACAATATATTTTATATCTTGATCAGTTATATTTTGTTCATCTAAATCGACAGTCCAACCACGACCACTTTCGAATATTAATTGTTCAAGTGATGTATTACGATAACTATTATTAGATACTGAAGTTTTTGGACTTGTTGAAAATCTTTTAGATTCTTTTTGACATAACAAAAATCTAAATAATAAAAAACAAAATATTCTTGTTTTGTTTTTTTTTTCTTCAAAATTTGATTTTTACTTTCTTAAAAAATTCTTCGATTTAATATGCGATGTTTGCTAAATAAGTAAACTTCATTAAAATAGTATTTCGTAATTTATTTTAAAAAGTATTAAATATCAACTTACAGTTTGTAAAAGAAATGATGATTGATTTTCTTGTAAAGTAATTAAATGAACATTATTATCTTGTTCTAAACATTCATGAACTTTAAAGTGTGTTCCAGGTAAAATTAATAATGAATTATCCGTTGAAAAATAAGTATGTTTACGTATATCTTTAATTGTATTACATTCAATTGTAAATATTGTTCGTGTTTCTAATTTATCTAAAGATTTTTCTGTTTGTAAATATTCAATTGAAGTTGTACATAATGCAAAATCCCACCATACAACTACTTCATCTTTTTGATATTGTTTAATTAAAGCTGATTTACTAATTCTATAGACATTTAAATGAATTGATGGTAGACGTATAACAGCACTAAATAAAAGTTTTAAATATAAAAACCATGGTTTAAGATTTTGTCGATTCATAGATTGTAATGTAGTATTTAAAACAACATAAAGACATTCATTCATTGGTTGCCATCCTATTGAATAAAGCATAATAGAAGCTGATTCATCAGATGTTAATCTATCAGCAGGATTTTCACATTTTTCTTTTACTATACGAACATATGTTTGAATTGTTGGTAATAAAGGTATCAATGGTAGAACAGCTTGTTCGAGTGTTACAATTGGTATTTTGTCATAACCATCAGTAGATTTAAGAAGTTCATATTGAATTTTATGTATATTATCTTCTTTGCATAGATCTTGTTTCCTATTACAGGCGCCCATGATTGAAATTATATCTAGAGAAAAAAAAGTCGAAGGACGACAACGTAATATAGGTTTGCAATAAATTAAGAATAAGAGAACATTTTTCTTTCATAACGAATGAAGTAAAAGAAACGCAACTTTTCGCATTCGTTGGTTTTCTTCTTATCGTTTAATATGATTCTGTGTCCAATTTTCTTCAAATGGTAAAAACAACATGCGTCGGACATTGATTTAAATATCATTTTAATTTTAACAACTGTTAAAGTACAAATATCTAACATAGTAATGATTTTAGTTATCAATCACATATCACTTCATTATCATCAATTAAATATTGATTAAAATCGATTGAAAAAAATAGACACAAATGAGAATCGAATGCATGTGAAACTTCAAAAATTAACAACAAAATTTTGTAACTATTTACATTTTATGGAAAAAAAAGAACTGATACGTCTATACTGATACATTTATAAATTTCATGAAATGTAAGTTGAACTAGAAAAGTACTAAATTTAGAAAAACGAAACGAAAATTAAAAACGAATATGAACGATTGATTCGTTCTTTTTTAAAATTATACGAAACTTATCGATAAAATTTCGGATTAGAAATATTACAAAACATACATACTCTTAATTCTTCATGAAAATAGTATTCAAATATTTTTTTTTATTTTATTGAGTGAAAAAAAGAAATTGAATTAAAGTTTTAAAATGCAACGCAAAAAAGAAAGAAATCTTAACATTGTCTATTTATTTTAAACAAATCAAATCACATCATAGAAGAAAGTAAAAAAAAGGAAGTTTATATTGCTTTTCATTTTTTTGAAATAAAAAAAAATATGAAAAGCATGAATCAGTCTGTTTCTTTTAAAACAAAACGTCCTTGTAAATTCAATAAATCTACAAAAAACAACATTGACGAGTATTGAGATGATTTTCTTTTGTGTTCTAATTCATGAGAAGGCAATAAAAAATGAAGAAATCATTTTAATTATATATGCCGTTGGTTGTACATGCTTGTATTTCGTTGTTCTGTTTCTATTTCATTTGAGTAGATCAAAACAATTTTTTTTTCTTCTTTCTGATTTTTTTAATTTTTTGCACTTGTTTTTCATAGAGTTGCCTAATGAGTAACTATAGACATTAATAGCAATTAAGTTTTAATGGCGACAGCAATCAATTATCGATAGACCAAAAAATGCGTTTATTAATAGATCACATGTATAAAAATTTGTGTAGCATATAATAAAATATTTTTTCGAGGGTAAAACTTTATCATATTAATGGTCAATTTAGAGCCTATATTAATAGTCAATTTTATATTTAATGAAGTTTACTAATATGATAATAGTTAATTTTATTTAAAAAAATTCCCATACATGAAAAACATGAATATTAATTTGAAGTATAGAAAATGTATTCATGAATACTTCGAATGCAATTGTTGAATATAAATGAATCGTTTTATTTTTTTTAAGTGCTTAAACATTAATGAAGAGAAAAAAACGATTTTTTTTCAATTCCACAGTAATAACAGGGTTTTTTATGATTATTTTATAAACTTCGTTTTTTTTTCTGTGTCGAATTAAGGGAACTTTCCGGGCATTACTTTGTGTACTAATATTATAATATCCAACATAATTTACATTAATAAAATAGTTACGTTTTATGTAGATAAATGGTCTTTGAAAAAAACGTGAACACTATATTATAAAATAAGATCTATAACATGTGCTGAAAAATAGGGGTAAAAATTTGAACCTCCCTCTCGTCTACAGAACGTTTGTCAACAACGTCTCGTTATTATACATATGCCCTTCAAAAAACTCTCAGACTGACTTTATTTAAAGACAAAACGTGGTGCTGTTGCAGTCGTATTATTATTTGTGCTTAGTTTATACAGATTTTTGCCTAAATACAGCATAAGCTTTGCTGAATTAAGCACGTACGTACACGTATATGGAAATATAGAAATACATTGTCGACCAATCTATATACACTGGCAGTAAATTAAAAAAAAGAATCTGAGCATTGATCAATGATGAAATTTCTTATTTTGGGGAAGCTATGCCTCGTTTAATATTTATTAATGTTTAGTGATAGTCTTTGATAATTGATTCTTCATCATTCACTATGATTTCTGAATAAAATCGTTGTTTTAAAGATGAATTCTCATACATTGATGATAATCTAGATGTGAATAGCATAATTAAGTGCTAACAATTTAAAAAGCATGATGATTGAAAACAGTTGAAAAAATAATAATAAAGCAAAGTTTCTTATTTTTTTTTACATCAATCCAATACGATACCTTTTTGGAATAGTCCACTTATATGAACTTCTTTCTTATTACACTTCTGCAGCATTAAGTAAAAGGATGGTGAAGAAATTTATTTTAAAATAAATAGAATGGCGAACGTAATTTCAGAGAAAGTTATATTATTGAGTTTTATTTTCGATGGTGGTAGCTAGAAAGAATCTGAAAAACCGTTTGAGTAGCTAAAAGAATTCTCTGTGAGGATTGATGAACTGAAAATCTCCAATAAAACTACTTGTATGAGAATGTCTGAACAAATCATGACATCTTTTTGAACTTTTTAAAACTGATTTTATTTAAAATAAAATGTGTCTGGGCTCTCTTATTCATCGAACTGCATTCAATTTATAGAAAATCCTAAAAGCATGGAAATTTCTCATAAAAGCAAGAGAAAAGTACTTATATGGTCTCTTATAAACAGAAAGCGGCTCAATGAATGAACGTCATGAAGACACCCACACCCATTTTATTTTTCTCTATCAAATAAAACCATTTCCAAAAAGTTTAAAATGAATACCAGAAAACTATTTTTGAACGTCTTCATCAAAGCAGTTTTATTGGAGGTTGCAGACTCATCAATTCATATGGAATATCCTTTTAGCTACTCAGATATTTTTTCACATTCTTCCTATCTATTATCATCGAGAAGAAAACGAAATTGTATTTCAAATTTCAATTCTGTAGGGATTTCTCTTACAGTTTGGGTTTCTTTTCCATTCAGCTGATGACTTATATACTTGTGACATGTTGTATGGCTTTTAATAAATTATTGTTATTGTATTGAATAGTGTCGAATATTTTACTTAATAAAATGGAGTCAATGAATATAAAATAAACAGAATTAATTTATTTATAATGTTTATATGAGAAGACATGCGATACCGTCTTCTTTGTTATCCTTTCTATTTAATGTATGGAAAAATCTTCTTCGATTATTTCAATAGAAAATTAACTAAACATCATGTTCATTATGATAAAATATTATATTAATTAAAAACAAATCTTCAAAAGTCTACTTTAAATAATAAAGAATTTCATCTTTATCATCCTATTTTTATTCTATCAAAAAAAAACAACAAAGCATGAAAGCAATCACACATTTTCGTATAAAAAATCGACATTTCTATTGATTATACATCAAAATATGATTGAAAGAATTATTTTCTGAGTATATAACAAGACAATGTGCTTGTTCTGTCATACAATCTGTGTTTGTTGTTAACCGCATATTAATAATAAATGACAGATGTAGCCAACAAGATTCTTATTGATTGCAAATTTCAATCTTTCATTTTAATACTCAATCGAATAATTTTATATTTGCCAAAATAATTTAATTTAACTAAAAATAAGATTACTCTACAATACAGAAAATATTAATAAAAGCATAAAGAAATGTAGACAAGAAAAAAAAGAATTAAATCAAATACAGACAAAACGTTTGAAACGCTAGATAAATGCGATAAAACTAAGAGAATAATAATTGTATAATTTAATAATGTTTGGTTTGTTTATTTAATTAAATTAAACTATGGCTAAGCCCTACGAAATAAACTTATTTAGCCGTAAAATCAAGAACCATTCGACCACTGATTCTATAATTGAGCATATCTTCAAAAATCTCATTGATTTCTTCTAATTTTCGTTTTTGTACTTTACATTCAATTTTATGAAGTTTAGCTATATCTAAACATTCTTGTAAATCTTTACGTGTACCAACAATTGAACCAACTAATTCAATACCACCAAGAACACAATCAACAATTGGTACAGCCATTTTACCATTTGGTAAAGCAACAGCTACAACACGACCACCACGTTTAACTGATTGAAATGCTTGTTCAAATGCAGCAACTATTGGTACAGTAACAACAGCACCTTGAACACCACCAACTTTGTCTTGTATCCATTTACCATGTTGATCTGATGGCCCATCAAAAATTTCTTCAGCTCCCATATCTTTTGATAATTGTACAGCAATCTATTCACAAAAAAAAACAAAAAGAAAATTAGTGTTTTTTTGATAAACAAAAAGCAAGATAATCCAAATCATTATACTTTATCATTGGGAGCAACAACAGCAACTACACGCATTCCCATAGCAACAGCATATTTAATAGCAACTGATCCTATAAAAAAGATAATTATTTAGAAAAAAAAAGCAAATCTTTTTTCTTTATCTATTTACCAAGACCACCAACACCAACAATGGATACCCATTCACCGGGTCGAACTTGAGAAACTTTTAATGCCTTATAAACAGTTACACCAGCACAATAGAGTGGTGCTGATTTATATGGATCCATATCTTCTGGTAATTTAACAGCAAAATTACCATCCATAAGAGCATATTCAGCAAAACATCCGTCAACTGAATAACCAGAATTCGTTTGTTGTTTACAAAGTGTTTCACGTCCAGTTAAACAATATTCACAATGAAGACATGTTGAATGTAACCAAGGAACACCAATAATATCACCTTTTTTCAAATGATTACCAACCATTGAACCTATTTCAACTATTTCACCAATACCTTCATGACCAGGAATACGTGGTAATTCAGGTTTAGCATCCCAATCTATAGAAGAAGAGAAATATCATAAATTAACATAAACTAAAAAAAAAAGAAGATTTTCACCTCCGCGAACAGTATGTAAATCTGTATGGCAGACACCACAAGCAATAGTTTTAATTAAAACATCAGTTGGTCCAGGTTTTGGAATTTCTACTTGTTTAATTTCAAGAGGTTTTTTAAAAGCGGTTACGACTGCTGCTTTCATACTAAATATTTTAATCTGAAAAAAAGAAAAGAAAAGAAAAGAAATATACCATAAATTATTAAGCAGATCATATACATATCAATTGAAACTATATATTCGTTTGTTTTGTCTCCGTGAATATGTGAAATAGTCAATATTCTATGTGCATCGGCGCAAAAAAAACATACTTTTATTACAAAGCTTGGCGAGGGTATAGGCTATGATGTTCGAATATAGAAAAAAGAGAAAAAACAGAGCTATTAAGACACTCGAAGAAGAACGATCGAGAACATACCTCTCGTATATGAAGTAACCTTGTACTTTCATTTCTCAATGATGCAGAAATATGTTTTTTTGATTTATAACCAAAATTGCAACGTCTTTCCAAATGTTTCAAAAGAAAACTACATAAAACTCATACAAAAATAAATAACCTTTAAATTCATTACAAAAGAACAAACACAAAAATATTTGCACTGTGATGACAATTATTACATTATTAGCAAACATTTCGTATTATTATTTATATAAGAAAATAATAAACATTAGAAAATATTTACCTCTGTTAAGAATCTCAAAAGTATCAGCTATTATCTGACTTGCTAGTCCTTTTATTTTATGTGATAAAATGTTACAGGTTACACATGATGAAGTAAAACATAAGCATACGAACCGACGAGTCATAGAAGGAAAGAGAAAAATATTGAAGAAACCGCGAGAAAATAAAAGAACAAGAAGTTTCTATCTAGACTTCGGACGACAGAAAAGCACAATACGCTGGGTACACAAGTTTATTTGCTTTCTTAGATAAGTTCGTTGTAAACATGAGACTCTTTTAGGGACATAATATGGCGAAACAGTGGAAAAGAAAAGAGAGAGAAAATAGATGATAAGTTTTTCTTTTTAATAGAAATAGAAAAAGAAATGTGTTTTATAAATCTCGCGTGTTAAAAATTTATGACACCCTAATCTGTGTACAATGCATTCGTTTTCAATATATCTATTCAAAAGAGCAACATGCAATTATGACATAAAGAATAGTGAAAAGATTCGTGTCATAAACACTATCTGACAATCAATACTTAATAAGATGAAATTCATATACACTGAGAAAAAGACGAGAAGATGCACACAACTTCTAGTAATATTTGAAAGAAAGATGTATAAGCAATCGAAGTAAAGTAATACTATAAAAGTTCAATAGAGGTCAGAAAATGATATTGACCTGTATCGAAAACTAAAGTCCGTTTGAACAAAAGAAAACTAAATATTTTTTTGACAGAATTAATTAATGACATTTAAGATTTAAATGATTTGGTAAAAGTAATGAATAATAGAAGCCATTTCATCAAAACACGAAGATTCTATGTAATAAGACATTTGTCCGAATTTGTACACTTAAATTTCATTTGTTTAAAGAAGTTGAATAAGTTAAAATTTATTGTATAGTAAATAAGCATTCTTAATTCCATGTTTAATCTTCAATTATCTTTTTCTTTGTGTATTTTCATTCTCTTGTTAGAATTATTTTTATATTTTATTGACAAATATAAACTGATGCATGTTAAAAGAAATAACGACAAATGCAGAAAAAGATTTTTCTCGAAGAGAGAAGCTTAGTCTTATTCGATATGAATGCCTATTAAAAAAAGCACTTGAGTATTTTTTGAATAAATTTTGATAGAAACCAGATAGAGCGCTACGACTTGACTTTCACCATTGGAAAGAAGAAATAATATCACATCGAATCATATATTACAGCTTCTCGTAGGATGTTATCTTAATCAACTTTATTAACAAAAATATTGGAAAAATAGTTCCAATTAACATACAAACAAAGCAAAAATGTGATTTTTTTTCATAGCAATTGCTTGACAATGTGACTGAAGATTTCGACTAGAATAATAATGATCCCGAAATAACTAAAACTAAAAATCTAAGGCTTGTGTAGTTTTTTAGATCGTCATTGGCGATTCAGATGTACAACTCATAATTAAAAATTCACTATAATCATCTCACAGAATACATTGGCTTTCAAAAAAGACGATTGAAACCTTAAAAAAATCCAAGTTCGAAACACTTTAACATATGATTTCATGTGTCTTTATTTATTCATTGATGATTGTACTTATTGCAATAGTTTATCGATAAGCATTCAGATACAAAATAGATCGATTTTTAAATATTAACTCTCCATATAATTGTTATTTAGTTCTATATTTATATTATAGAAATGTAATATCAATTTTAAATAATTTGTATGTTATCAATGATAAAAGTATTAGTAAATGTGGTCAAAATTGATGACGAAAATCTTTACATCGTTTTTAGTCGAATAATTTTTGGACAATCGATACTTTGATCGATAATATATATTTTAACTTTTTAATCTTCATAGTGATTCCAGAAAACTTACTAATGAAACAACCATTGCAAAAGAATATTAATGTCTCCAATGTATCGGTCGTATATACATAAAGTGATCATGTGCACTTTAATGGCCACTAGGCAGAAGAATGACTTGACAAAAATTGCATCTGAGGCATTCGGTAAATCTGATGAAGTTTGAAGATGTTTCATTTTGTAGAAAATGATCTGCTCTATCATTAAGTATAATGTGCGAAAATTTTATGCTCCAGTTAAAGGCGCTCAAAAACTGAAGGTTTGATTTTTCTGTAAAAACCACAGTGATTAGTCATCGTTATTTGCTACATGATATATATCGATTACATGTCTTGTTTGTTTATCAGAAAATATTTTATTTAAAAAAATCCGACTTTTGGGAATTCTTTTCAAACTTATCGGTTTTGTAACTCATCTTTTCAAGATATGGAGCACCATAAAACAAAATATTTTCTTTTCAATGAATTGTTGATGAATTTCACTAGAAGATATATTCCTATAGTTTTTTAACTCCACAAATTCTTTCCTTTCTACGATTGTTTTATTAATGGTTGCTCGATTGTAGAGTCTAGCAATTCTAAAAGTTTGGAATCCAGACTTGGTTGATTGATATTTTTCAGAACGGTACTTGAATGCAGGCCTGGTTGATCAGACGTTTTTGGACCGGTCCAGACAAGGAATTGAGAAGATATTGAATTTATCCTCGTTTACTTATATCCTTTTCAAGTTACTATGACTTTCATATTGTTCACACTTTCGTCCTTTTCGTTCATTTAGCTCTATTAGTTCTTTTGGGTGTGCGTATGGATGAATTGGCGTGTTCTCTTCATCCACACCTACACCCTTTTCGGTTTATTGTAGTTGGTAACTAGAACCCATCGAATCCAAAATTTTCCAACCGAACGCGATCTACGTAGATATTATGACCAATAATCTTGTTGCGTATTTGAGTTTATTTTCATACAGAAACAACAGATACATATATATCACATATTAGGAGAAAGGTGAAGTATGACAAAAGATAACATAATAAAGTTGGAAAAATACATGAGTCAATGAATAAAAACAAGAGAACACAACAGGGAAAATGCCCGACAAAACGGAAGGAAAGAGATGGATATGGTCAACAACATGTGTATGTACAGCAAAAAAAGATAACGAAGACATACGGATAATACTTTTAACAGATTTATCTTATGGCATATGTTTCACGTATGGACCATAACAGTGAAACCGATCGAATCCGAAACCAACCCAACGAACTCGGCGTCACTTCTCAAGCAGACAGTAGATTAGATTCATTTACTAAACTTTGCATTATTATATTTTTCAAAGAATAATTCTGGTTTTGAAAATTTTTACAAACAGATTGAATTAGATATAATACATTAGACTTTACAAAAAAAAAAGAATAATCAAGATTATTCGATAAAATTTGTATCATTGATATATAATAGTAATCACTCTCGAAACCATTTATCCAATTAGTTCATCTATTTACATAAATCATATATTGTTATTTTTGTCCATTGATTTCTAGAACAATTATTTTCCACATGAAATATTTAACTTATATTATCAAATTGTTCATTTATCTAATAAATACTTTAGATATTTTTCACATCAACAATAAAATTATTGATAAAAAATTATTGACTTGTCACCAAACTATTTTGATATTTTTGAGCAGCTAATGTCAATGCTTCTTTACTGTCTTGTAGTTTTGGATCTTCACAATCATATGTTACAATATTTAATCCAGGAAAATTAAATACTAATAATTGTTTTAAATTTATTAATAAATTTGCATCTGGTGCGTAAGTACGTGAATTATTATCAAAAACTAATTCCCATTCATCATCCCATTTATCCCATCCATATTTAGGTCGAGGATGAAATTCACCTGCATAACAAACATATTCTGAACAATTTGCTAATAAAGCATGTTTACTGACAAAATCAGTAAAAAGTCCAATACCAGTTTCACTAAATTTCCATGAATAATTGTCAATTACATATGTATAAATACATGGTTTTATTATTTTTGTAATTCTATTTGTAAAGACAAATTTCCAAAGATCATCACTACTATTCAATGAACCATTTTCATTATATCTAGATGTTTTTTCATAAAGTGCTTTATGTGCTAATTTGATAGACTTTCGTGATGTTGATGAAAATGGATAATTGCCAAATATGGCTCTTGCTGATTTATATTGTTTATTCCAATATTGACGTTGATTAGGTAGAAAAAAAAATGAAATTCTTCTCATTTGTATTTTCCATGTTGGATAAGTATGATCAATATTGATCTTTGTCAAACGGCCCATAGTCATCGAATTATGACAAAAATATCGACAAGAACTATCCAAGGTATATCGAGGAAGTTGTTTCGTTTCTTCAGATGATTTCATTGATTGAATAGATAAATGAAAGCAACCATTGTATTGATTAGATGCATTAATTATGTCATGACCTTTCGTGGAAGGAATATAATTAATAAGATCACGAATTATAAATTGTCCGATAAAATCATCAGAAAGTTTTCTATCATATTTATCATAGAGTGTAACAATCAGTTCAGCATGACGAGAAATATTTCGAACAATCCATTCTGCATCATACCATGAAGGTTCTAAAGTCTTGGACAAAGCAATTGATCTAAAACACATAAAACAGCATGAGATATTTCTATATACTTCTACAGATTAGCAACAACTACATTCTTTCATGTGTCTTGTCAGTTAAACTAATTAGTGTATGTAGTATCGCCGAACGAAAGAAGAACTAGTCTCTCTACTATAGTTGGAATTACTCACTTAAATGAAATTACATGATCAATGTTCGCTATAAAATATGGATCAGGATGTCCACCTAGAACATTTCTTGATAAAATCTACAAAAAAAAATGAATGTTGAACACAATGTTATATGTAACAAATATATGTAAATATATTACTTTTGCTGAATGAAATCTAATAATAACATCATAATTATCAGATAGATCATAGTTACACATCAATACTTTTTCGACAACTGTATTTTTACGACGAATAGGTACGGAACATGAAGACATTGTTAATTATGATAAATATTAAAATGAAAAATTTCTTTACGAATAACTTCAATTAATATATAACTGATGCAATATCTATATATTTGTCTCAAGTTGGTTTTTTCTGTATTACATTTATCGTTATTTTTGTGTATGTGTCTATATATATTCGTTGATTTGATTATGTGTCATGGTTGGTAGAAAACGATAAAATTAAAGACACCTTTTATGTTCTCTTCCTTTCTTTTTTGTAAAAACCAATCATGCTTATCTTCACACAACACGCATTTACAATTTTTAATTGAAACAGTATATTTATATAATGATACAAAAAAAAAATGAAAAAAAAGCATTTAGTTAGCTACACGTGACATTAGTATGTTAATATTTTTGTTTTTGATTCTATTCATATGTCAATTTTGATATGAAAATAATATGTACTTTTAGTTTGAAGTGAACTGTAAGTGTACAATTATTAAGTTGGTCAAAAAGAAATACAAGAATTTTTACTTTATTCAGTAAAAATCAGAAATAATTTATTGAACTACAGATTATTTCATGTATTTTGATGATGAGGAACAAAATGTAGCTAAAGTTTTGACATACTAATTAAACGTGCGTTATGTAGATGCTAAAAAAAAACAAAGTATGGCACAAAGACGAACATCAATATTCATAGGTATAGAATACACAATTGACGAACCGTGTTCTTTATTTTTATTCTAATGATCATATATAGTTTGATGGTTAGCATAGTGTAATCGATACTAATAGTGAATCAATTGATACTTTGTCTTTTATCATAATAGTTATATTATTATTATTTGATCTAGTAATATTCATGATAATTAATATTGACATTCCATGTTTAGCTCCAATACATTTCTATATCTCAAAATTTTTGGTTTTTCTGTGGTTATCGTATCAGAGTTGGGAAAATTTCAAGTGAAATATTGAAATAATTCTATCATACTATTGCTGAATGATATTACTTTTTCTTCGAGAAGTGTAAACGATGTAATCTATTTATTGAGTGTAGCAATATAGTGCAGATCATTTCATGATATTCAAAAAAAAGGAAGTATGTCAAGATGATCTTGTTCACATTCATCAAAAATATCTTAACAAAATAAAACAAAAACAAAAGAGCATTCTTATGATGGATTTTGACTTTAATAAATATAGACAATGGTTGATCATCGAACACAAACAAAACTCAAATATTGAACTTCGTCTTATCACCTTTAATAAACTTTTGAAATGGAACGCAAAATCACATCTTGTACTTTATGATCAAGATGATGAACTCCTATATCATATGAAGTTGACCGAAACGAGTTTCATAGTTTCAAGTGTACTCAATGATGTTATTATTAACAATGTATGAATTTCTTTCGAAAGTAGCCGATTTTCTTGCATAATTCAGGAAAGTTTGAAGCGACTCGTTAGATAATATTATGAATCATTCTCATAAATATACTGTACGACAATATTTCAAATAGAATTACCGTTTGTAAATAATCAATTATTCCTAAGCAATACATCTATCGGTTGCTCATGAGAATGAATTATTGTTAGAGAGCAAGTGTCGAAGGATCAACTGTATTGGAAGCAAAATTTGTGTTATCTTCAATTCCACTCGAACTGTACATACTTTGATATTTTTCATGAGATTTTCATATCGAAATGGAATAGTCATCCTGAAGATACGAGATACTTTTTTCCTGTTTTTTGTATGTTTCCAGTTCTACTGGTAAGTCTTATTTGATGACTATAAGGAAAAAAAGACGATTAAAAATTTATTGTAAAAAAGTGAAGGCAACGCTATTTATCTTCTTTTTGAAAACAAAAGATTTCAACCAATGCTTTAACATTATCAAGAAAATTTTAGAATACAAATACTCATCAATTATGCAATAGTTGTTGAATATTAATATTTAATTACTAAGACGTTCTGATAATGAAAGAGCTAACCGTTTAAAATTGTCAGAATTTTTAATATGAAAGTTTTTGCTAGTTCTTTATCACATTTTGAGTTAACATTTCGAACACAATGTTTATTCTTTTCTTTATTGTTCTCGAATATGAATATCATAGTTTTCTTTTGCTTTGTTTTTTAATATTGAAATAGTCATTTATTATTAATAGCATAAAAATAATACTTTTGTTTGTTTTCATCGTATCTATGAACATGTTACAATGACTCAGATTTATTTACTTATTTGGTAATATTTTCTTTTTCTTTTATTCTAACATATACAATTATTCTCCAAACTATTCCTCCACCACTGTAACATTAATTCGCTTTGAAGCAAATTGATGCTGTGGGAGTGGGTGAATAATATTGGCAATCGCTGCATATAAATATAAAGATTTATGTATCTGTATATCTGAAGTAACTTGTGTCTGAATTATAAAAAAAGATATTTCAGTAAACATATCATAATACATTATTTATTAAAAAAATCAAACAATATCACCTGTTTCTATTAGAATGTCTGTTGCTACAATTGATATTAGAGATAATTTTAAAACGGCATATCCTGGTGATTTCTTTTATATTTGTAAATTCACAGCACCTGGCGGAGCGTCTTCATATCATGACAACCTATTATTTCAAGTTCAATTAGAAGATGAAGATTGATTGGTAGTTTACAAATTATCAAAATCTTCAGGATCAACTATGAATAATGATAAAATCAAACGCAAAGCATTTCCTTTTGTTTATAATACAAAAGGTATTACAGATGATGAAACGCAATGTGATAGTATTCATGATAGTTTGAAGACTCTATTCCAAAATCATTATGTTAACATATTTATTTTCGATAAAAGCGGCGAAAGAGCTTCATATGCTAGAGGTGCTGCTTTTTTTTTATGAACGAATATGGATTAGATATCGACATTGTTTTGAGTTTACTGTTTTATATGTTTTTATTTATGGGTCTTTAGCAGAAATGCTCAGATTGTCAATATTTTTTTCAATAAACATAAATAAAATCTTAACAATAATTAAGATGATTTGTTCTTGAATCAAAATAAATTAGTCATATATATATGAGATATTTCAACAAATACATTATATCGTATTATTGTTTTTAATTTATAACAAAATATAAAGAAATCAAGAGTACAAGCAGTTTTATTTCTCTCGGAATGAAAAAAAAATCGAGAACAATGTAAATTCGTCATTAAGAATAGGAGTATGTCTACATATATATAAACGCAATAAAGCTTGCAGATATTCTCGAAACACAATGAATAAAAAGAACAGGAAACAATCTACAGTAAAATCTTTCTAACGTAGGCACCACTGAAAGAGATATTTAGTTACGATTACTTTTTGCGTGCACATAGTGACCTTTTTCTTTTTTCCAATAATTCATTAATGCAATTTTTTTAACAGTGCTGAATCAGTAAGTATTGATATAATTTGATATTACTAGCTGTTAACACAAAAATTGGCAAGATGTAACACTAAGCACTGTTGCTGTTGTGTAATATTGTTTTGTTTTTCGATATATGTCATTAGTTCATTTCCTTCCTATGTGAGTTCCACGATTTTTTCTCGTAAACACAATACAAATAACATCATGTTTATTGCTCATAGGATTAGATATTAGAGACTACTGCTTAGAATAAGGAGATACTCATATCAGTAACACTTACTCATGGCGAAATTCACTTTGGTAGACTATCTATTGCTCAGTACTGGCAGATGTCTATTATGTAGAGATGCTCACATAAAGAGGTTAATTTGAACAAAAAAATTGTTTTTCTGTGCTGAAAAACACATGGACAACATAAGTCTCATTGTCCTCAATTTGTTAATTCAAACAGTTTTGATATAAATCATTATACTTGTTTATGGTATAATGAATGTTACTGTATTGAATATTCATCTTATAATCATTTAGTATTTTGAACAACTAAAAATTTGCGATATTGTCATTCGTCAAAATGAAGTCATTTAGTAGAAACACAGTAATCGTATAAGCTGTACAGGAATCGCATGTAATTGAGTTTTTACTTTTTTTTATGACTGGATCAATTTTCTCAAATGACCTTTGTTGTTTATCTTTTCTTAATTCTTTTTAGTATGGTGTTTTTCGAATGGAGTTTTATTCTCTTATAATTTAAACTTGAACTGCATTCCTTAAGTTACAGTCAATTGATTGACTAATAAGTAGAATTATGAAAAAAATTGCATATTTTTAATCGAAATTCAATTTGTCTCATATCAAAGCTCAGCTGACTTATGTTAAAAAATGAAAAAAAACTTCGATTCGATTGTGAAATAATTGAGAGAATATGTATTATTATTTGTCGCTCAAAAAAAATCTCTACATTGTGAAATTTGTATCTTTATATTTACTCTCTTATTCTTTTCCTCACCTTATTGACATAAAATTTTTGGTTAATTTCATTTTTACTAGAAAACATTGATAAACTGTATTAATCGGTCACCTATAAGCCAAGTTCAAACGCTTACTGCCAATAATTCCCTTTTTTTTCGCAGAAAGTTTTGTGAAACTTTGAAGTTTAGTTTGTTTTGAATAGCATCTTTTAACTAGGAAAAAGTGTGCCATGAGTCTAGACATGAGGTACAGTACAAGACACTGTAGGACTGCCCCTCAAATTTTCGAAGACTTCACAACAGTGAATGAACTTTTATTGAATAAAATGGTAGCAGCATATATCAACAAACCAGTTCTTTCAGGAAAGGTTTTTTTTATACCGAATGTTCAGAAGGGGTTCAAAAAATGCAGTTTTTACCAGGACGTCCTTTATAGGTGACCCATAACATGAAGTAGTGTGAATGATTGTTATATAAATAGTATTTCTATGATATTCGATGTCATACTTCATATTCATACAAGTTTTTATCCTTATCATAGGAGTTAAAAACATTATTTTATAACTATTCTTGAAGAATAAAAAGTAATGCTTCGAATTTTAAACAAGTATTCTGTTTCGCCAGCTAAAACGGAAATTTTTTCGAAATAACTATGAATCAAGAAGTTATGAAACAATTGTTATTTTTATATTGTTTTTAATGTTGTTTCATATTACAAAAAGAAAAAACTTGAAAAATCATATGCCCGCAATCGGTATTAATGTTTACCTTGTAAATTATCTTTTTTTTTTTAACAAATAAAGATCAACATTATCAAAAGAATACCTTCAGATAAAGTTAAAGATCTATGTATGAACTATAAAAGAATTTAATAATAATTGATGATGATATTGTACCTGAAAATTAATTGGATATAATCGAGCCTTGATGGGTGTGAAAGACAATATGTAAAAGAGAAAAAAAAAGCTTCATAGATAGAATTATCATTTCCTTTATGAATATCATTAATTATATTTTATGACCTCGAAGACAAACATATTTATTTTGTGATTAACACATTGATAAAATTTGTTTCTATTCATAACTATCTATATAATTTTTATTATTCATTCATCAAAGAAAAGGACAAAAATAATAGAATGATAGTAAAATGATAGATTCGAAATTTGATTGGTTTACAATTTCTATATGAATGTGAGCACTCATTGCTTATGTATATATGTTTCGCTCATTTTTTTTCGACCTTCAAGTACCTATTTACTGCCAATGATAAACAAATAATATTTTTTTCTTTGTTTTTTTCATTATGTCCCTGAGTATAGATGAAGCGAATCAGGTTTATTTGCTCGATGATATTTTATCTTTTCCTTGATCATCGTTAATATATAACTCACATTACTTGTTTCTGACTTATTTTAAAGACATTTCGACAAACGTATTATATTGTAGTATTTATTAAATAAATTTAGACAAATCTATTATAAATCGTTTCATCTATTTATATTAGAATGCCTCACACTACATCACGTATTATAGACAAGTTACAAGCGGCATATCCAAATGATATTTTTTATGTTTGCAAGTTTTCACCACCTGGAGGGGCGTCTTCGTATGAAGGTCAACTATTATTAAATGTTCCATTACAAGATGGAGATTGGTTAAGAATTTACAAATTATCACAATCTTCAGGACCACCTGTGAATAATGATATAGTCAAACATATAGCATTTCCGTTTATTTATGATACAAAAAGCATAACAAATGATGAAGCACGAGTTAAACGACTTTGTCACAGTTTACAGACTTTATTTCCACTTCATCATGTCAATGTGATTGTTTTCAATGAGCCTTGGGAGAGTTCTTCATGTGCTAAAGGCTGTGTTTCATTTATGAAAGAGTATGGCTCGGATGTCTGCGTTATTTTGAGTTAAATACTTGATATTTTTCTTGTCTTCTTTTTTTTTCGTTTCTTTTTGTTTGTTTTACTTTAGTAAAAAAGTTTACACTCTCATATAATTCTTAAATAAAAATAGATAAGGTTTCAGCAATATTGAAAGTCATTTGTTTCTAAATGAAAATAAATTATTATACAAAATACATGTTGGTAAACGTATTACATTATATTATATATCAAATATTTCATTCTATGTATTTATATGAAAATGACTGTTACTGGTATAGATACAAGAAACAAGTTTCAAATAGAATAGCCTGGTGAGTTTTTAATGTTTGCAACTATGAAGCATCCGAGGAGAGGATATAGCTTATTTCATGAGACTTCAACAGATTGCGAGATTATATGACGATTAAATAAAAGTTAAAAATTTCAGAGAACTTCTAGAAATGAATCATTCAAATTAAAATCAAATTCAGTTAAGTTTAAACTCTTCCATTTAATATGTACTTCACTTAAAATTAAGTGATTAAGTGGTAGAGATGAAGAAAATTGTCATTTAATTTAAATCTTTTTCTTAGGAAAAAGATATTTTTCGAAAGTAATAATTTTTGTTAGTGTTTGACTGAAAACTTGCGGAGTGTAGATATCTGTATGTCTTATCAGTATCTCGAAATGGTATTAAACCGATTAGAAATTCAACTCTCTTGACCTCAGAATTCTTGTGTCTAACTGTATAGAGGAAGATTATATTCGTAAAAAACAATTCTTCTTCTGGAGAAAAACTCAAACTTAACACTTTTGATAAACCAATTACTGATTCGAATTCCTCGATCATACAGACTTTTTATGCAATTTTATAAAAAAAAAAAAAAGAATTTTGATTTTCTCCCAATAGTTATTTCCTGAAGAAGGAATTAAGCGAGGACCAATGACTTAACGAAATCATGAAGTCAGTTTTTTTTCTATTGAATGCATATATTCCAAGCATTAGATGGTTTCTACATTTTACTTGTCGTTAGTACCCCTTCCATTAGAAATACTTTTCAGAAGACTTTATATGACTTGAAGAATAAAGTCTTTGCTGTTTATCCTTCGACAGCACCTCGTAAATAGTCTTAATATTATGGCAATTTGTTATAACGTGTTCAATTAGAAGATAGAAATTTTTTTCTGACTTTACAAATAATACAAATCTTCACGATTCATTATGAATAATGATGATATCAAATATAAAGCATCTCCTTTTGTTTATGATGCAAAAGTTATAACAGATCAGAAGATATTGACCGAGTCCTTTATGTGTTAAAGGCGTTGACTTTTTTCGCAATAAGCATGGTTCGGATATTGACATTGTTTTGAGGAAACTACTTTTTATATTTGGTTCCTTAAGATAGTTCGATAGAATTTGTCTTTTTTTTTGTAAACAGATTTTAATTGGTAACCTTAATTAAAAAGAATTAGTTGATTTATCTTTTTATAAAAAATTTTCAATAATAGAAGTCGTTAATAATTAAATTTACTTGTCTAAATTCTATGGAAAAATAAAATTTTAGCTGTTGTCTTTCATTAAAATGAAGTCATTTAATAGAAACTTAAGAATTAGATAAGCTTTATAGAAATCGATATAGTTGAGCTTATACTTTTTTCAACTTTCAGTTGGTTCGTTTCTAATGACTTTCCTCTTCTATTTTTCCTAAGCCTTATTTTTCATCATTTTCTCGAATAGACTTTTATTCTATAATTTATCAACTAATGATCAGAATTCTGACAAAGGCTGGATATGTTTAATCGAAACTTGACTTGTTTGATATCAAGACTATCAAAATTCTGTAAAACGATGAAGAAACATCGATCATCTTAAGAAACGATTGAAAGAATATCTTTTTCTCATTTGTCGCTCACAAAAGAAATCATATGAAGTTCTTATTCATTATAATTCTCATCCGAGTTTGTAAATTTGAAATAAAAAATTATAAGAAATGAATTTACTTTGTTTTATAGAATAGTTTCACTTTCGTTCATGATATCATAAATACGAAGTATTTCAAGGCGATCATCTTTGCATTTGCTGAGGATGTCTTAAGAAAATACGAAAAAAAAACAAAGTGTTGTCGTAGCAGATTCTGACTTTAACAAACATAGAAAAAAATTGATGATCAAACATGAACAGAAATCAAACAACTTGAAAGTCAAGCTTTGTCTTGTCATTTTAAATTACGCCGTGTATTCTATGATCCAAATGATGAGCTTCTGTATTGTGAAATTGTGTGTATATACAATAATGTTTTTGAACAACCAATTATTCTTAGACAATACGTCTATCATATCGTTAGACACCTCGATAACTGTACGAAGAATCTACTATGGATGCAAAAGATAAATGAAAAAAATTTATAAAAGAAGTTATTACCTGTCGAGAAACAGAATTAGTTTGGCCTATTGAATAAAATAATAAATTATGAGAAACATATTAATGTCCTCAAACAAAATTTTACCGAGTTCTGGAGCCAGACTTGGAACCGGACAGGTTTTTTCTGTCCGGTCCGGTCAGCAACCTGTCGAACGAATTTTATAGCTAAACTGGCAAAAATAACCAACCATAAAAGCATCTGTTAACATAAAATGTTAGCGAAGGGGAATTGAATATTCACATGCAGAAATCCCAACTCGGGGTGATCAATTTACATTTACGAAAAATTTATAAGTTCAAAAATAAATTTTAAGAAATTTAAATTAAAAATAAATTTTAAAAAGTTTTATTTATTTCGAATTTAAATTGGATTTACATAAATTTAAATTTTGTAAAATTATTTAAATCCAGTTTAAATCAATATAAATTCGATATGAATCAAATAAAATCCAATTTAAGTTCATCTAATTGGATTTAAATTCATTTACATTAATTCATATAGGATTTAAATCCAATTAAATGAATTTAAATTGAATTTTATTTGGTTTAGATTGAATTTATACTGATTTAAACTGGATTGAAATAAATTTAAATAATTTTAAAAAATTTAAATTTATGTAAATCCAATTTAAAATTATAATAAATTAACAGCAAATCGCCACCCTTAATCCAAACTGGAAACTAAAACTTGGGACTGAAACTCTCCCTTCATATTTTATAGCAAGGTGCGTCGACTTTTCGAGCCCGACATCAATATAAATTAGCTATTCAGATCAAATCTGTTTTTCATCTTAATTTCAAAAAAGAAAAAAAAGCAAGTTTATAACACATCTAACATAAAAACGTAAATTTTTCTTGATTCAGGCAGCTGCCTAAGTAGAACAAGAGAATAAATTATTTGATCAAAGTTTAATTGAGCGATACACGAGAAAGAAATCGATAGAGATATAAAGAGAACAATCAATCGTTTATAGTCAAGTCGAAGACAAGATATCTATTGAGTCTTTCGCAAGCACATTCTTCTGACTTGAAAATATCATAAAAAAACCATTTTCAGTAGAGAAAATTCTTGGATGCAAACAACAATTGTGTAATGATGAACTGGCAAAAATTCGGTTCTGTCCGGCCCGGTTTAACTTCTTGTCCGGTCCGATCCAGCAGGACCGCAGCCGGATTGCTGGACCGGTTCCAATTCTGTCTGGAGCTCTTAAGTGATATTTTTCTTTTCGAAGATAGTCCATTCTTGACCTTGAATAGAAATATTTTCACTGAGCACTAGTTTTCAGAAGTGAACTCCTCTTTATTACATTAGATATTATTTGATCACATGAGTTGAACTGCTCTGAGTCAGATTTTTTATTTTCTATATGACGAAGTGAATATCGAAGACTTGCGACATGATGATGATATATAAGTTTGATGTTCTGAATATATTTATCAACATCATGGAAACGTGGTTTTGCGAACTGCGGTTTCAGAAGCGAAATATTGAAAAAATAATGAGTATTGAAAGCACTGAAATCATCTTAACCTGTTCATAAATTCTGACTATCGTTCAATTTGCACCGATTTATTGCAAACAGCAAATACATTATGACAAAAATCAAGCACACCATATACTTCTTACTCGATTTAAAACTTCACGGCAGGTGTTATTTTGAAAAGACACTATCAATAAATCAGACCGTCAATAATGCTCTATTCTAGTATCACTGTCCAAGTCTTGTTTGAAAGCGAGTCTTAGTAATCTCATTGTTTTCAGCTCCATGAACTGATTCGGTAAGCGTAGAAAATGGGTTTACAGTGTTTCAATATCACTATCACTATTAAATTAGATTGAAACAAATATAAAGTCTATTCTGTTTTTCATTCATTTTGTTCTGTTCCTGTTCCTACGACCACTCTATTTATACGATTTTAATCAAACATTGAAAAGAACATCTTCGAACACGAAAGAGACGCCACTAAAATTGAAATAAATAATTAAAATTGAAATAAATTTATTGAAAAGTATTTAATTGATATTTATCAAGACAAAAAGTCAGAAATGATGTCAAAAAATGACTTCTACTGTTAGCACTATTTTGGTATATTAACTAATTATTTTCACTTCTTCCAAAGTAATCATTCTAATGCACCATATGAACAGCATTTATCGGCATTTTTTGTGACAGTTTTACCCCATTATTTTTATTACGATTTGAAGGCATTTTAATATCATTTTACCATTCTTATCTCTGCCTGGATATTGTCCCCCTGTTCCTTGAACAGAATGAAATCCAATAGGTGCTGAAGTCAATTTAGGATTATCATGATTTAGTACTGAAGGAATGCCTGAGAGAACTTTGGCATAAAACATAGCATGTGTTCCATCATTTATATCAGGTCTTGCATAACCATGTGATTTTTGTGGATTATCAGCAAAATATGCACCATGACCTATTAAATAACATAAAACAACATATGATTTATTTTGTATTATTAGAAATAGAACTAAATGATGATTTACCCCATCGTCCACTGGAACTAAAATATCGATCATCAAAA